AAAATACTTTTGGGACAATTCATGTTGGTCATGTGACCACATATTGCATGTGATACTGAAAATGTCAATTCACTGTTGCTAGTATGCGGTATTTATCGCAAATAGCAAAAACGCTCAGCAAATACCGCATAAAAAGATGGTAAAGTCAATTCACAGAAGGAAATAATAATTAAATGCATGTGGTAATTAAGTAGTGGTCCGGGTATGCAGTATGTACTGGTTAAGGAGCGTGCGGCCATCGGCGTCCTTAACAACCAGCAACTGTGATGGTTGTTAAGGATCCAACAGCCGCCACGTCCTTAATAACCGATGAGTCATCAGCTATCAGCGGGGTTTCCCGCTGACAGCTGAATGTAAGAAAAATAATTGCCAGCAATTAAAATAATAATTTAAAAAAACGAAATGGGGTCCCCTCCTCCATCCATACCAAGCCCTTCGGGTCTGGTATGGATTTTGAGGGGAACCCCCACACCAAAAATTTTAAAAAAATGGAGTAGGGTCCCCCCCAAAATCTATACCAGACCCTTATCCGAGCATGCAGCCTGACAGGTCAGGAAAGGAGGGGACAAGCCAGATCCTGGCCTCCCTATGTGAATCATTATTATTCACCGAAAAAAGTGTAGTGCAAAAAACACAGGAGGCAATTTTTGACAAGTCCTTTATTAAAAAAAAAAAAAGAAAAAAATGTCCACTGGTGTAGATCCATCGTCAACCATGATGCCAGCTGCCACCGAAAAAAAGAAAAAAAGATAGGCTCCGCTCCCGACGAACGCTCCAACCATCTGACAGCTCATAAATAACTAAGGGGCTGAGTGATCACCAGGTGATCCCACCCCCTTGTGACATCATCGACCCAGCTCCCCAGTCAATGACAATGATGTGCACAGGTGATTAAAATTAAATGACAGGTGGGCAGCTGCACAGACCTTCTGGGATTTCCAGGCACATCTCCAAGGGTTCATCCATGGTGGACAGATGCACATATAGGAATGCAGTCTCTCTGGCATGCCCATGTGAATGAGCCCTAAAGGAATACATTGTACTGCTCCTTGACTTGGATTAAGGCATCCCCAAGCATGTTTTTTGAAGGATTTGTGTATTTTCCATGTTGCCTTTACGCTGCATTAAAAGACCCTTCTTGCTTAACTTTATTATTTTCTTTTCTTTTTTTTGCATTGACATATGTCCCCATGGCAGAGCCCAGTTAACCATGCAGTTTTTTTTTAAATCGCTTGCAGTAAGATTTAAAAGTCAAAGAAAAATAGAAAGATTCTGCTTCTATAGACTTCAAAAGGGCTTGGCAATACATTTTTGTGGGCTTCCTGCTGGGTTTGCCAAAGCTTCTGCAAACAGATTTGCTTGGTTTGTACATCCTAAGATCTAACATGTCCAGCCTTTTATTCTGCAGGTCGTCCCCTGGTGGCAAAAGGAAGAATGCTGTGCAGCTGGTCAGAGTGTCTTCCTCTTTGTCTGACCTGAATGTCAAGACAGATGATATGACAAGGATGTCCGCAGGTGAAATTTTCATTTTATTGTACATAGTATTTCCTTAAAGGACAGGTACACCTGGAAAAAAGCCAAATGCACAGTGTTAAAGGATACATGTCAATGTCTCTTTTCTTTTAGGTGAACGAGGCTCATGGGGAAACAAGATTTTTCATAATGACTCTGAGAGTATTGGTGGCAGCAGTGAGCCCAGGTCGCTGGAATCTCCTACAGAGAGTCCAGGTGATGAGATTTAAAAGGCATACTAAACAATAATTAGCCAAGGGGGTGACAGTATACTAAATTCTGAATGCACTTACTTTTGAAACTGCTGTGGCTGTATTCAGTATTAGAAACCTGGCTAAGTCCCAGTAGATGCTTTAGAGTCTACTGCAAAACAGAATAATTTGGGGGGAAGGAAGTTGGGGACCAAAAAGATACCTTAAAACGCAGGAGCTCTGGGCTTAACCTCTGGACAATAACTGCATCAGTCGTACCAATTGGGTCGCTAAGCATGCAGCAGAGATTCCGTTGGGTAGCAGAGTTTAAAGCTGGACCCCAAATGTTGTTGTCTACCTAGTCTATTACAAAAGTCCTCTGCATCTCCATAACATTGACCAAATGTGCAGGAGAAGGGGAGGCAAACTGTATAAGGTAGTGAGGGGTTATAGAAGTTGTGGGGAAGGGGGGGGTTCGCAAGAAGGCTTATGAGGGTTGGTGATGTTAGGTTCGGAATAGAAGAGCATGGGCATATCAGCTGCTGTGGAATTTATATTGTGCTGGTTCTAGTTTGTTAAAGCCAAACCCATCCCAATGTCATTCCGTCTACTTCCTGTAAGCCCAGACCATTAAAGACATGCACACAGGAGAGAGGAGAGGTAGATTTGGCCTCTGAAGTGGAACTGTGACCAGAAACAAAACTAAATTTAATACGAGCCATCACGGAACTCTGTAGCTGCAACCACCATGGAATAATTTATCCTCAAAACTTCTCCCCTCAGTAGCTCAGGTCTCTTTCTATCAGTGAGTTGGTAGTCTCCCAACTTTGTTATAAATACATAGCAGGTGCACAGGAGTGGGCACAGATAAAAGTGCTGAAGCCTGATTTAAAGTACATTGCTCAAAAAAATTAAAGGAACAGTTTAAAAACACATCAGATCTCAATGGGGAAAAATATCATGCTTAATATCTATACTGATATGAACTGGGTAATGTGTTAGGAATGTAAGGATGCCCCATCGTTTGATGGAAATGAAAATTAGCAACCTACAGAGGACTGAATTCAAAGACACCCCGAAAATCAAAGTGAAAAAATGATGCAGCAGGCCAGTCCATTTTGCTGAAATTTCATTGCAGCAACTCAAAATGGTCCTCAGTAGTTTGTATGGCCCACATGTGCTTGTATGCATGCCTGACAACGTCGGGACATGCTCCTAATGAGACGACGGATGGTGTCCTGGGGTGTTTCCTCCCAGATCTGGACAAGGGCATCACTGAGCTCCTGGACAGTCTGAGGTGCAACCTGGTGGCGTTGGATGGACCAAAACATGATATCCCAGGTGTGATCTATTGCATTTAGATCAGGCGAGCATGGGGGCCATTCAATGGTATCAGTTCCTTCATCCTTCAGGAACTGCCTGCATACTCTCGCCACATAAGGCCGGGCATCATCATGCACCTGGAGGAACCCAGGACCCACTACACCAGCGTAGGGTCTGACAATGGGTCCAAGGATTTCATCCCGATACCTAATGGCAGTCAGGGTGCCATTGTCTAGCCTATGCTCTGTGTGTCCCTCCATGGATATGCCTCCCCAGACCATCACTGATCCACCACTAAAACGGTCATGCTGAACGATGTTACAGGCAGCATAATGTTCTCCACGGCTTCTCCAGTCCCTTTCACATCTGTCACATGTGCTCAGGGTAAACCTGCTCTCACCTGTGAAAGGCACAGGGTGCCAGTGGTGGACCTGCCAATTCTGGTGTTCAATGGCAAAAGCCAATCGAGCTCTATGGTGCCGGGGAGTGAGCACAGGGCCCACTAGAGGACATCAGGCCCTCAGACCACCTTCATGAAATCTGTTTCTGATTATTTGGTCAGAGACATTCACACCAGTGACCAGCTGGAGGTCATTTTGTAAGGCTCTGGCAGTGCTCATCCTGTTCCTTCTTGTACAAAGGAGCAGATACCGGTCCTGCTGATGGGTTAAGGCCCTTCTATGGCCCTGTCCAGCTCTCCTAGAGTAAATACCTGTCTCCTGGAATCTCCTCCATGCTCTTGAGACTGTGCTGGGAGACACAGCAAACCTTCTGGCAATGGCACGTATTGATGTGCCATCCTGGAGGAGTTGGACTTCCTGTGCAACCTCTGTAGGGTCCAGGTATCGCGTCATGCTACCAGAAGTGACACTGACCCTAGCCAAATGCAAAACTAGTGAAAAACAGTCAGAAAAAGATGAGTAGAGAAAAAAATGTCAGTGGCCTCCACCTGTACAATCATTTCTGTTTTGGGGGTCATCTTATTGTTGACCATATAGTGCACCTGTTGTTAATTTCATTAACAGAAAGACAGCTGAAACTGATTAACAACCCCCTCTGCTACTTAACAGACCAGATCAATATCCCAGGAGTTTAATTGACTTGATGCTATACTCCTGATTAAAAAGTGTTCCTTTAATTTTTTTGAGCAGTGTATAACCAAAAACAATTTTTTAAAATTTTTGATAAAGTGGAGACAGATTATAACGTGTCATATTTCATTACTGTTTGTGTCCCATTACAGTGATTCATCCCCTGTGTTTGTCCTGTTTACCATTATCACAAAGGGTGGAAGTGAAAAAAAATCCGACATTCTGGGTTGTTACAGCACAGGTATAGATGTGAATTCTACCAATGGGGACACTAGTTCTGATGGTGACCATAGTGACAGCCAGGGATTTTCTCACTTTGGAGGGATTTCCTCTCACTTCCTGTTTTGGTCCTGTCTCCTATCTTACATCAGGGTTCAATTATCTCATCCTAAACCACTGCAAAGGAGATGCAGTGACTCCCAATAATCAAAATCCTTGTGGAATGCCCTTGGCTCTCAGTAGTTCCAACCGTAGAAAAGCAGAGAAGGGTTTGGACTGCTTCAATCTTCAAGTTAGTTCAGGTCAGCTTATCATATGCGGAAGTACATTTCTTTCTGAGCCTACAGGAATTCCCAGAATCACAGGTGTGCCCCCAGGGGACAATCCTTGGGACCTCTCTGGGGGAAACTCCTCAGGTAACCTCTAGAAGTGTTAAGTGTCCATAACTTCTGCCCCTCTGAAACTTGGTTGTCCTAATCTTGGGACCTGTATGGCCTGTTAACATATAACGATACGTCTAATTGCAGGAAAGTGTGGTTTATATTGTGCTGTGCTGTGCTGAGTGCCACAAATGATACCATCCTGTGCTATTCTAATTCATACAGGCCACTTTGGCAAAAAAGTTGCCAAAGCCTCTTCCACAGGGACCATGTCCTCTGATGACCCAGATGAAAGAGATTCCTTTCATGCAGAGGATGTTGGTGAGTAGCACGATGAGCAATCATAAACAGCTAACAATGGTTACTCTTTCTAATCAAGTTCTCTTTGTGATCACACAGACTCTGTTGATGCCTCCTCTGAGAATGGCTTCATGCTGCCAAGCTTCGTCATGTCACCAGCTGCCCAAAGCCACCGACTTCGACGCACCAGAGTGCCAACCAAGTGCAGGGAATGTGAAGGCTTCATGGTCTCTGGTGTGGAATGTGAAGAGGTGAGAAACAAAAAAAAATTATTTTATCAGTGCTTAGCCTTTTTGGTAATCATTTACAAGCTTTAAAAATCATTTTATATCAGGTTTAAATTATGTTTATATATCTTTATTTTACAACAAATTTTGATTTCAGGGTGCATTAATGACATTCTATTTGAAAACCCCTCCCTCTTCCTGTGGTGATTCCCAGGTGCTCACATTCCTCTGGGAAGCCCGGGACCATGATAAGTTGTTGGGATGGCTTGCTGCATAGGAAATGGAGGAACATCCTTTCCCCAATCTCCTCTGTGACAAATAAAATCGGAAGTGACAAACTCCTTAGGTTTCAGGGCTGTCATTCCTTGGCTGTTAAAGCCAGGGAAGCAGCTGATCAAACAAGATCTATGTGTGATCAGCTGCTTTGAAGGGCAAGGGAGATATCAGGGGTCTAATAGACCCCTGATATATCCATAAAGAATATCCTTCACCTGCTCAAAGCTATCACAAGTGGGCTTGCTCCCCACCTATGATAGCAATAAAGTTCAACAAAAAAAAACTTAAAAAAAAAAATAATAATAATAATTTAAAGCATCCGCATGGTCCAGCACGTATATGTAACTGTGATTTTGTCACATATCTGAGGTAATACAATAAGACCAATATATGGCTAGGGCCATAATTCACAATTATATCTAAACTGATAACCTGTTAAGGCTTTTAAAGCTTCATCTATGGACAATTTTAGATCCTATAGCGCCCTCCTCTAGTTAGGCTGCTAGGTTTAATTTTAGTTTTTGGCTTCACTCTAGTGAAAGGAGCAGTAATTGTTTTACCTGTTCAGGATTTCCTAAGCTGAGTGTTTTGATTTCTCCCACGTGCTTCCAGAAGAAACTTCCACAATAGTGAGATGCAGATGACCAGTATAAATGTTTATCATTCCCTGGAAGAAGGCGTCTAGGTGGATGGGGAGGTGATAAATGTTTTCGAAGCTGTGGGAGAGTTTTCCTTCCTCCCCATGGAGGGTTCCGGTCCCCTAGGGAGCTGCTGCCCCAAGGAGAGCTTCTGAGACAATAGATTGCAGTCTGGGCCTCAGCAGGAACTTGGTCGAGGGCCTGTTGAAGATTGCTAAAGTACTGTAGTTGCTGGAGGGCACTGCTCTGAAGTTCTGGGATTGGAGAATTGTTTTATCTCCCTCATTGAGGATCTGGTTGGCAAACAGCCATGGGACACTGTGAGTAAAGACCTTGCTTGTGCAAGGGCCAGAGGGGAACGAAGTGCCAGAAGTTGCTATATAGACTGGGACTACTTATAGAGTCCACCTAGGAGAGTTCTAGATGTACTATTACCTTCAGGAAAAGTGGCTATAGAGAAGATTAGGGAAAAGTTTGTCCTCCATTATCGCTATTGATCATTTTGTGGTATCCTGTGACCCTAAAACCCTATCCTATTAAAGTTCTTTCGCAATAAATGCTAAAAGGACGTACCCTGAATTGTCAGTGTGTGTGGATCTGTGTGATAGGCAGCCTCTGTACTAGTAAGAGAGAACCTGTGTATCTACAGCGGCCCCTTTGGGGGTAAGCACTACAGTATTTTAGTTTGTTGCCATTTCACAGACATGTACAATTTTAAATCTTGACATGTTTGGTATCTATTATTCAATGCAACATCATCTTTTATACCTTACCAAAAAATGGGTATTATATTGTGTTTGTGTGCACTAAAATTCATACAAGTGTATTTTTTTCTTGAAAATTTGATTTAAAAAATGGCTGCACAAATATCATGTGTCATTAAAAAATGCAACAGCAATCATTTTATTTTTCAGGACCTCTGCTTTTTGAAAATATAGAATGTTTGGAGGTTCTTTATTTTAACATTCTTTTGTTTGGAAGTCCTTTTGAAGCAAAAATTGCAGATTTTAAACATATATGTGAAAAATGTCAAGATCACCCCAGACTGCTAGTGCGTAAACAAAATACCAGCTATTTAACCACTTGACCGCTGGAATGTTTTAACCCCTTCATGAGCAGGGCATTTTTTGTTATTCAGCACTGTTAATTTAACTGGTAATTGTGCGGTCATGCAACACTGCACCCAAATGAAATATTTTTTTTTTTCACACAAATACATCTTTCTTTTGGTGGTATTTAATCACCACTGGGTTTTTTAGTGTTTGCTATATAAATAAAAAATATGGAAAATTTTGAAAAAAGTTCTTAGTTTTGTGCTTTAAATTTTGCAAATAAATTGTATTTCTTCATAAATTTTGGCCAAAATGTATCTTAATACATTCCTTTGGTAAAAATATACTACATTGTTTTACATTATTTAGTCTGTGTGAGAGTTATAGAGTCTGCAAGCTAATATATATATATATATATATATATATATATATATATATATATATATATATATATATATTTATACTGTGTGTGTGTGTGTGTGTGTGTGTGTGTGTGTGTATGTGTATATGTATATATATAATTTGAAAATTGATCAATACTGATGTACTGACAGTCAATCTCATTTCTTGAGACCATTAAAATGCCAGGATAGTACAAATACCCCCCAAATTATCATCATTATTATTATTATACAGGATTTATATAGTACCAACAGTTTATGCAGCGCTTTACAACATGTGGGCAGGCAGTACAATTACAATACAATTTAATACAGTAGGAAGCGGAGGGCCCGGCTCATTAGAGCTTACAATCTAAAAGGGAGGCTCAATTGGTACTAAAGGTAATAACTGTGGGGGATGAGCTGGTGGAGAAAATAAAGTACAGATATTAGGTGGGGGCAGGAAAGGCTTGTCTAAAGAGATGGGTTTTCATGGATCTTCTAAATGTAGCCAGAGTAGGAGACAGCTGGACAGATTGGAGTAGGGAATTTCATAGGGTGGGAGAGACTCGGGAGAAGTCCTGGAGGTGAACATGGGAGGAAGTGACAGGGAGCAGGAGATCTTGGGAGGAACAAAGAATGATTTGGTTGGTATTTTGAGACTAGGTGATGTAGTCGGGGGCAGTTGTGGATGGCTTTGTAAGTTGTTAGTATTTTGAAATGACTTCATTGGAGAGTGGAAGTCAGTGGAGGGATTGGCAGAGAGGGATAGCCGACACTGAACGGTTGGTAAGGTGGATGAGTCTGGCAGCAGCATTCATGATGGACTGAAGGGGGGATAGACTATGTAAAGGTAATCCAATGAGGAGAGAGTTGCAGTAGTCAAGGTGAGAGATGACCTGGGAATGAATTAGAATCTTTGCAATATCATTGGTTAGGAAGGGGCGTATTTTAGAGATGTTATGTAGGATGAGTTGGCAAGCTTTGGACAGTGATTGGATGTGGGGCTGAAAGGATAGTTTAGAGTCCAGGATTACACCTAGTACCCAGGCATGGGGGGACAGGTTGATAGTTGTGCCTTCAATCTTGACAGAGAAGTCAGGGGAAGGGGCACGTTGGGAAGGAAATATTATGAGGTAAATTTTGGATAGATTAAGTTTGAAGAAGTAGTGTGACATCCAGGCTTATTTGTCTGCTAGTAGATCAGTGATGCCCTCTTTTTGGAAAGCAGACAGTCCAAGGTATTTAGTAAGAGGAATGCTGAGGTTTTTGAAGTTGTAATTTTTTTTCACAATTTTTTTTTTAAATGAAGAAAGTAAATAAAATTTGGGTTTTTTTCGCAATTTTTAACATACTGTCATTAGCGCAGTCCAGCATCATCATATGACTGGTGTGGCAATGATTAGGGATACTGACTGGTGACAGTATGTAAAAAAAATTTTTTTTTGTTTTTATTAATTGTTTTAAACATTTTTTTTTTTTTTTTAAACATTTTTTTTTACTACAGTGACATTGTACTAAGGGGTGATCAGGGATATTTTTTAAATTGCAGTGACTGCAAAACATTCAGGATGATGGGACACTGAGCTCTCTTTACTGCCAATTTAATCATGTTCAGCTGAGTTATTGGTTGCTTTTGTTTTTCTTTTTAGTGCTATTTGACTTTTCACAAGAAATGCCTGGAAAGTTTGCTTATCAAATGTGGTCACAGTAAACTGCCCAACAAAGTTCCCTTATTTGGTGTGGATTTCTGCAATTTCCCAAGATACTTCCCCGAAGAGGTGCCCTTTATCATAAGCAAATGTACGGCTGAGATTGAGATAAGGGCATTGGGACAGCAGGTAAGGAAAGACTTTGTCCTGGAACTTTTCTAAAGTTGTTCATAGCATAGGATTCATTCTCTGGTCAAAAAAATCTGTTCTTAGTATAAACTCTGTTACTGAGATTTCCAATACTAGCTCATACATTGGGTCATTTAAATTTGAGAAGCTGAATACACACCTGAGGTAAAAAAAAAAAAAAAATTTAAAGTAGGTTTTTTTCTAAAGTTTTTCCACATTTTTTTTCTCTGTCTTGCGTTCTAGGGCCTGTACCGTATCAGTGGAGCGAAAGCCCGGGTGGAGAAACTTCTGCAGGCATTTGAGAATGGACGTCAGCTAGTGGACTTGTCTGGCCATTCACCACATGACATCACAAGCGCCCTCAAACACTTTCTCAAAGAGGTATGGTATAACCAAAGAGGGTTTTGAGAACAACCCTAGAATGTGAAAGTACAGAGTTGGGGCACTACGTATATACAGTTAGGTCCATATATATTTGGACACAGGAACAATTTTAGTTTTTTTAGGTATTTACCAAAACATATTCAAGCTATAGTTATACAATGGATATGGGCTGAAAGTGCACACTCTCGGGTTTAATTTGAGGGTAAGTACATCCAAATTGGAGGAAGGGTTTAGGAATTACAGCTCTTAAGAGTAGCCATCCCCCTTTTTTCAAGGGACCAAAAGTAATTGGACAATTGGATCAAAAGCTGTTTCATGGCCAGGTGTGGGCTGCTCCTTCAATATTTCTTCATCAGTTAAGCAGGTGAAAGGTCTGGAGTTAATTCTAAGTGTGGGATTTGCATTTGGAATCTATTGCTGTGAACCTGTGAATCATGCGTTCAAAGAAGCTGTCCATGCAAGTGAAACAGGCCATTGTAAGGCTTCAAAAACAAAACAAATCCATCAGAGTGATAGCAGGGCATATCATTGTCAAAGTTTACAATCAAGAGAAGACTTCACAAGAGCAAATACAGAGGGTTCACCACAAGGTGCAAACCATTCATAAGCCTGAAGAATAGAAAAGCCAGATTAAACTTTGCCAAAAAACATCTAAAAAAGCCAGACCAGTTTGGAAACCATGATTAATCTGTACCAGAATGACGGGAAGAAAAAAGTGTGGAGAAAGCTTGGAACAGCTCATGATCCAAAGCACACAACGTCATCTGTATAACATGGTGGAGGCAGTGTGATGGCATGGGTATGCATGGCTTCCATGTGGCACTGGGTCATTAGTGTTTATTGATGATGATGTGAGAGAAGATAGAAGCAGCCGGATGAATTCTGCAGTGTTTAGAGATATACTGTCAGCCCAGATTCAGCCAAATGCAGCAAAGTTGATTGGACGGTGCTTCACAGTACAGATGGACAATGATCCAAAACACACTGCAAAAGCAACCCAGGAGCTTTTGAAGGAAAAGAAGTGGAATATGTGCAATGGCCGAGTCAATTATCTGATCTCAACCTAATTGAGCATGCATTTCACTTGCTGAAGGCAAAACTAAAGGCAGAAAGATCCACAAACAAAGAACAACTGAAGACAGCTGCAGTTAGAGCCTGGCAAAGCATCAGAAAGGAGAAACCTAGTCTTTGGTAATGTCCATGGGTTCCAGACTTCAGGCAGTCATTGCCAGTAAAGGATTCTCAACAAAATATTAAAAATGAACATTTTATTTATGATTACATTCATTTGTCCAATTACATTTGAGCCCCTGAAAATGGAGGGACTGTGTATAAAAATGGTTGCAGTTCCTAAAATTTGTACTTGATATTCATGTTCAACCCCTTGAATTAAAGTTGAAGGTCTGCACTTCAAATTCCTTTGGATCGTTTCGTTTTATTTTACTCTGGTGGCATACAGAGCCAAAATTATGAAAATTGTGCCTGTGTCCAAATATACATGGACCTTACTGTATAGTCTATTATATAGCACAGATTATTTACAAAGGCATTTAAAATCCAAATATTACATCAGGAGGGGCTTATTTATGATTGAGTTTGACTTTAGACAGCTGTCCACAAGAAGGTCATAAAGGCAGATTTGTAATGCTGAGATTACAAACTGGTCAGTTTTTAGTGCTAAAGATTCAGGCACCAGATAGGGTAAGTTTCCTGCTTAGGAGATTCAGTGTTAGCTGAAGCTTTAGGATGGCATTCCTTGGGCTTCCCAATTACTGGAAATTACACTACAGACATGAAGTTCCACCAGAGAGAGCATTACATTGGGAATAACACTAAACATTACCACTTAGTGGCAGAAATAATAATCACAGTGCAATATATGAGAATGTGTCAGGAGCCGACTGGCAGTAGCCTCTAACGACCCACAGGCCGGAATTCCTCAGGGCGCGGAGTCTAAGCCTCAGTCTGCTGATTCACCAGAGCCCCTGATGGTGGGGATGGACTTGAAGCAGCCTGAGACCAGATCGCGACCCCCGAGTACAACCAGCAGTGGTAGAGGCAGCCGCCAATGGCGGGTGGCAGGTGAGAGCCAGATGTGAAGAGGTAGTAACGTAGTCAGATGGGCCAGGTTGGTAACAGCAGAGCAGACAGTACAGAGAGGCAGGCACAAGAATAATCAGGTCACAGGCCAGGTTCAGCAACAGGAGGTCAGACATTCAGGATCAGGCAGAGAAATGGTCAGAGCAGGAGAAGACAACAGGATCAGGGTCAGCAACAAAGCAATCAATAAGCAGGAACATTCAGGAACACAGGAACAAGACCATACAGCAATTTGGTGATGCACAGGGCAGGTTTAAATAGTGCGCCCTGTGCTCTCATTGGTGCCAGGCGCGCGTCCCCGATCGCGAGTGCACAAGCGCGGCCGCTGCCACGGGTGCCTAAGCCCCAGTGCTCGCCGGCTAATGCGCTTCGGCGTACTGTGCATGCGCAAACCTGTGTGATGCCGTGATCCCTGACAGAATGGTTGTTGTACCTATGTGTGTATGCTAACACCCCCACTAAACAACTACTTATACAAGTCCTATCTTTTTTCGGAGCTCTTCAAACTGTGGGTATGGTAGTAGTTTTGTTACAGTATCTATCTTCCTATCAGTTTTATAGTATTCAAGCACAATCACATTTTGTTCCACAAGGTCTCAGAGGTAACGGTGCCTAATTTCAATGCGTTTGGTTCTGGCTTTGATCTTTTAAACCTTTGCAAGCTTTATACATCCTTGATCATCCTCATAAAAAAACTGTTGGCTGAAACTTTGTTTCTCCAAGATCCTGAAGTAGCTGCTGCAACCAACTATGTTTGTCTAAACAGCATGCTAACATCTCCAGTGTACATATGTGCTGCTGCTGCAGCTCTCTATGTTACAGATCACATTGCTTTAGGGTCAGGAAGGCGTTATTTAAAGAACGTTCCCACATAGAAGAAAAATATATTTGAAATATATTTTAAAAATATTCTTGCCAAATATATTGCCATATATTTGAAATACTACCATTATATAAATTACATACATATATATATATATATATATATATATATATATATATATATATATATATATATATATATATATATATATATATATATATACTGCATGTTGAAATACACTTTTATTACAAAACATATGAGAAATATTTTTTTTAAAAAATTTCAAATATACTGTATGTCTTTAAAAACACAAATCTACAATTTTGGAATGCATTTACAAATATATGTAAAAATAAATTTTAAAATGACTTTTTTATGTAAAAAAAAATCTGAAGAATATATTTCAAAAAAAATATATTTTTCTTCCATATGGGTTTGCTTACTTAACAAAAAACTAATTGGTGCAAACTGACATAATTCATGAGATTACCAAAGCACAAGTGATAATAGTTTTGTGTTTTACTATTACTAGTTACAGTGGTGACATTTGCCATGTTCCCTCCAGCTCCCAGATTCTGTGGCCACCCAACACCTGTATGAAGAATTTATGGCTTTCTCAAGAGATTTCCCTGAAGAGAGGAAGGACCCAGAGATTCAACAAGAGGCCATTCAACGCATGAAGGATATTCTTTGCCGCCTTCCACCTAGTAACTACAATACACTCCGCCACCTAACAGCACATCTGTATCGGTAAGGAGGAGGCATTCTCATTACAAACTTAGATCCATTGTATTCAATGGACCCCTATATCTGTGAATAAAACTGAACCCTTGATTTGTTGATCTGGAATCTTTAAAGCCGAACTTCAGAAAAACAGAAACATAAATAAATTAAAAATAATTTATTAAAAAAAAAAAAATATATATATATATATATATATATACAGTGGGGATCAAAAGTTTGGGCACCCCAGCTAAAAATTTGTATTAATGTGCATAAAGAAGCCAAGGAAAGATGGAAAAATCTCCAAAAGGTATCAAAATAACAGATTAGACATTCTTATAATATGTCAACAAAAGTTAGATTTTATTTCCATCATTTACACTTTCAAAATAACAGAAAACATAAAAATGGCGTCTTCAAAAGTTTGGGCACCCTGCAGAATTTATAGCATGCGCTGCCCCCTTTGCAAAGCTGAGACCTGCCAGTGTCATGGATTGTTCTCAATCATCGTCTGGGAAGACCAGGTGATGTCAAGCTCAAAGGTTTTAAATGCCCAGACTCATCTGACCTTGCCCCAACAATCAGCACCATGGGTTCTTTTAAGCAGTTGTCTAGAAAACTGAAACTGAAAATAGTTGACGCTCACAAAGCTGGAGAATGCTATAAGAAGATAGCAAAGCGTTTCCAGATGTCAATATCCTCTGTTCGGAATGTAATTAAGAAATGGCAGTCATCAGAACAGTGGAAGTTAAAGCAAGATCTGGAAAACCAAGAAAAATATCAGACAGAACAGCTCGCAGGATTGTGAGAAAAACAATTCAAAACCCACGTTTGACTGCACGATCCCTCCAGAAAGATCTGGCAGACACTGGAGTTGTGGTACACTATTCCACTATAAAGAGATACTTGTGCAAATATGGTCTTCATGGAAGAGTCATCAGAAGAAAACCTCTTCTACGTCCTCACCACAAAAATCATCGTTTGAACTTTGCAAATGAACATATAGACAAGCCTGATGCATTTTGGAAACAAGTTCTGTGGACCGATGAGGTTAAAATTGAACTTTTTGGCCGGAATGAGCAAAGGTACGTTTGGAAAAGAAGGGGCACAGAATTTAATGAAAAAACCTCTGTCCAACTGTTAAGCATGGGGTTGGATCAATCATGCTTTGGGGTTGTGTTGCAGCCAGTGGCACAGGGAACATCTCAGTAGAAGGAAAAATGGATTCAATAAAATTTCAGCAAATTTTGGATGGTAACTTGATGCCATCTGTGAAAAAGCTGAAGTTAAAGAGAGGATGGCTTCTACAAATGGATAATGATCCTAAACACACCTCGAAATCCACGGGGGATTACATCAAGAGGCGTAAACTGAAGGTTTTGCCATGGCCTTCACAATCTCCTGACCTCAACATAATTGAAAATCTATGGATAGACCTTAAAAGAGCAGTGCGTGACAGACAGCCCAGAAATCTCAAAGAACTGGAAGACTTTTGTAAGGAAGAATGGGCAAAGATACCTCAAACAAGAATTGAAAGACTCTCTTGGCTGGCTACAAAAAGCGTTTACAAGCTGCGATACTTGCCAAAGGGGGCAGTACAAGATATTAACTCTGCAGGGTGCCCAAACTTTTGCAGACGCCATTTTTTCGTTTTCTGTTATTTTGAAAGTGTAAATGATGGAAATAAAATCTAACTTTTGTTGACATATTATAAGAATATCTAATCTGTAATTTGATGCCTTTTGGAGATTCTTCCATCTTTCTTTGGCTTCTTTATGCACATTAATACAAATTTTTAGCTGGGGTGCCCAAACTTTCGATCCCCACTGTGTATGTATATGTATATATATATATATATATATATATATATATATATATATATATATATATATATATATATATGGCCTGTCTTGCCTGCCATTTGTATTTGTGTGGGTCAGAGTAGGAGACCTGACTTTTTAATGCTGCAATTAAGTGACACTTACAGGTCTTGTCCCTCCCCTAGCTTGTGACTGGACAATTGTAAGAGAAGCAACAGACTGATGAGCTCATCTCTCTGATACCCTGCTCTCTCTCCTCTTATCACTGTGGGCAGCACAGTGGCTAAATGGTTAGCACTTCCACCTGGCAGTACTAGGGTTATTTGTTCAAATCCCAGCCACGACACCTCCTGCATGGAGTTTGCATGTTCTCCCTGTGCCTGCGTGGGTTTCCTCCCACACTCCAAAGACATGCTGGTAGGTTAATTGGATCCTGTCTAAATTGGCCCTAGTATGTGTATGTATGAATGTAAGTTAGGGACCTTAGATTGTACACCCCTTGAGGGTTAGGGACTGATATGAATGTACAATATATATGTAAAAGCGCTGCATAAATGGTTGGCGCTATATAAGTACCTGAAATAAATAAATAAAAATAAAATCAGCATGTCCTTGTTAGCAAATAGGAACTGCAGGACAATGGTCTGGCTTGTGCTGCTTCTTCCTATCCAGTTCTTTGTTCTGCTGTTCAGGGAATGAAACAAAGCTAATACCAAGTCAAATGTAGGTACTTAAAGCGATTGTCCAGTCTCCTATGAAAAAACTGTCAACAGCTACAAAAACTATAGCTGCTGACTTTTAAAAAAACAACTACTCACCTGTCCCAGGATCCAGCGGGATATCTACCCCAGCCAGGTTCACTGTCCCCAGGGCCAACATCTTAAGTGTGGGCACCTGGCTGTGACAGATTGCAGCTTCACATCCGGGTACCCTCTGTGCATGCGCGAGCTGCTCTGCCCATTGTGAATGGTCCTGCAGTCTTCTGGGTCCTGTCACGTGTCCCAGGGGACTTCAGGGGGGGGGAGAGCTTCCGTTTCCAATCACCTAGGTGGTCGGTGCTAACGAGGGAGTGGGTACCTGTAAAAATGGGGTCCACCCAAGGGTGCCAATCCTTCACAGGGAGTGGGGGACCAGTCCTTAAAGCAGAACTTCCACTTTTGGTTGGAGCTGTGCTTTAAACTGCTTGAATTTAAAAAGATACATTGACTGATGTATTATTGAATACAGAGCTATGTTATCTGCCTGGCACTCAGCTTAAAGTATATCTGAATCCAGGAAATAAAGGAGGTAAAGATTAAAACCCCTGGCAGGTTGATTTTGTATTGTCTTTGTCTTGTTGGGGAGATTTTCCTTCATATCCTGTCTGAAAGATGCAACAGAAATGAGAGGAAGTCTCTACAAAGTGAAAAGATTACCTCTCTTAGATAGTTGCACTTGAACAAGTGTCACTATTACAAATTTCATCTCACTCTTAGTTCCAACAACAATGACATGTGAGCATGTGAGCGCTGTTCTGTGAAGAGGTACTGTGAGCCAAATACAGTGTTGATGCAACCCTGGGGATGTGTCTACTATGACCTGGGCTCACAGGAAGTGGGTTGAATGACGCTGGATGGTACTGGACCTTGGATTGTTTAGTCTGTAAGGAAACAATACTGGAGAGGTGAGTATCTCACCTGGAAGGAACTGCTCTTTATCCAAAACTAAAAAGTCCAATGCAGGTACTTACACTGCTTGGCAGGGCTGTTGTTCGAAACCATGGGGCCCCATGCAGCCAACCTCAAACCCCCATCCCCCCCCCCCCCACACGCACACACACACACACACACAAAAACACAGTTTACTATGCTTTAGTTATAAATGAACACAGTGAGTGATCAGTACCAATCACTCATTGTGTTAATTCAGGATAGGAAGGGGCTGGTAAATGTGACATATTACCCCCACTCTCCATCCTGAAGGATCCTATTGTGTGCTCGTAGCTGTCAGCAGGAAGGAGAGGAGGGCAGCAGGCAGCACTACAGGGGTGGGGGCACACGGGGGCCATGGGCAGCAGGGGGAAACATAAGGTGCACTGGGGGGGTTTGGTGCGGGGGGGGCTATTACTGGAACCTGAGCCCTTGTATGGCTTTCTCTGCAGCAGCTAAAAACCAACAAAAGGGAGAGGAGTACAAGCTAGCTTCCAGGTGCTGCAGAGAGAGCCATACAGGGCGTCAGTTCCAGTAATAGCCCCACTGTTGCGCCCATCACCCTTCCTGCCCACATCCGATTCACCCAGCTGCCTGGCCCCCCCTGGCTGGACTGGGCCCCATACAGCAGGACTGGTGGTCCCCCCTTTTCTACAACCCTGCTGCTTGGCTTTTGGGTTTAGAAACATTTTAGAGCTCAACTATGAGCAGATGAAAAAACTACCCTTGTGCTGCAAGGGCTAAATGCTCATGTATGCCTATGGTACCAGGAAAAGGCACATTCACTTACATAGTACCATATCCCTTGCTACCGCAGGCTCCTGCATCCATTGCACTAGTCCCCCTGCACCCGTTTCTCTTTGGCACTTTGGCTGATGAACACAACTGTGACATTATCATGAGCAATGTACGGCTATCAGTCCTGCATTGTAAGCAAGGAAGGTGAGGACCACCAACCAGCCAGAGCGTCACAGAGAAGGGGTGAGTGGGGGAGTCAGAGATATGGGAAGTAAAAGTGTTTATTACATTACATTAAATAAAAATGAGCATTTAACTCTCTGCACTGCACTCAGCTGTAAAGCCCAGATCTGGGAAAGTTTAAAATGATCCCTTGCAGTGGGGCTGCGCCAGCACTGCAGGGGTTACTGGCTCATTTTGTATAAGGGAGAAGAGAAGTGCGTTTACTTACCTTATCCTCTGCTCCTCCAGCAAATGGCACTCCTCTGCGCTCCAGGACTGTCCTCTGGCATCATCCTGTCCAGTGCATGGCTATGGGCCCTGTACTGGTCTTGATGATGTCAGGACCTTGAATTGTATTGTGGAGAAGAAGGTGTTGCAAGGACCCATCTAGCAGCACAAAGGAGAGGAGGATCAGCTAAATCTTACCTAGATCTAAAAGAGAAATTTTTTTCAGAGTTGGACTTTAATATATAAAATACACATGTGTGATTTCATAGGAGCAGGGCCCTCCTAACCCTCTTGTATTGAACTGTATTGTTGCTGTATTGTCTCCCGTTATAGTGTAAAGTGCTCAGCAAACTGTTGGCGCTATATAAATCCTGTATAATAATAATATGTAGATTTCAGATACTGGAAAATTTTAATGAACTATTGAAATCATTTGAGTGTGCAGATGCAACCTATCCTCCCCTTGTTTGCTTTCAGTGTTTCAGAGAGATTTGAGGAGAACAAAATGAATCCTAATAACCTGGGAATTATCTTCGGCCCAACGTTGATTCGTCCATCTCCTGGACAGGACAAGCCGATGACCTGTCTGCTGGATTCTGGGTACCAGGCACAAGCTGTCGAATTCCTCATCATCAACTACGAGAAAATATTTGGGATGGATGAGCTTCCCATATCTGGCCACCAGGGGACAGCAGAGGAGCCTTCCGAGGCAGAAATGGATTCTGTTGAACTACTAGAGTCAGAAGTAAGAGAAATGATTGTATTCAGCAACTTTACTGTGTTATATAACCTGATGTAACCTCAGATGTTTGCCAAGTACCCCACCTCTGAAGCTTTGCACCCAGAAAGTACCCTTTAAGTCGTATTACATTCTTTAAAGCTCAAATCCAGTCTTATTATTTTTCCCCATCCCTGTAGCAGGTCCTCTCCTCTGTTGAAACTGATTACACCCAATTCCTTGCAAACTTGCATCTCCACAACATAATCATTTGAAGCTGCAGCAGCTATCATAAAATGTCATTAAACTCAAATCTTTATAAACTATTCATACAAGCTAAATTACCTTGTGTTCATACTCACTTTGCCAGTAGAGTGTTCGTTTTGTGTAGATTACAAAAATCCTGGTTGATTCTGCTGTTCGCTGTCCCTACCTTCTTTTCCGTGTCCCCGCTGGAGCCTGATATTGTGTAAACCACCCATTTCCACATCTACTGAGCATGCTCCAGATCCAGTTCCTTTCCAAACAGTTTATGTCCTCATTTTTCCCATCTCTGCAGCCTACATGACTATAGAGTCACACATGTGGCCATATACAATCTGGATAAATGAGAGTCCCCTCCCTCCTCCTCCTGGTTCTCATATTGCTAAACACTATGGGGGCAGGATATAAGATGGTGTCTGATGGAGGCTTCACCTCCTTGTTAGTTCCACCACATACACACCATAGACACAGGGTTGACGGGTGTATCTTACAGTGAAAGATATGGTCAACAAGCTTAAAGAGCATTTTCACCCTCTGAAACCTGATCCCTCCTCCAGTCCTCTGCATGGATAACGCTTTGGTATAACATTTTTCAAATAAATAATCTTTCTTCATAAATTTAGGCCAAAATGTATTCTGCTACATTTTTGGGGTAAAAATAACCCAAAACAGTATATATTATTTAGTCTGTGTGAAAGCTATATAGTCTACAAAGTATGAGATTATATTTGAAAATTCATCAGTTGAGACCCTAAAATGCTGGACGCTGATATGATGTATGGCAGTGATCAGAACGTTATGATGACGTATGGCTGTGATCAGGATGCTGGTATGACAGTGATCAGGACATTGGTATGGCTGTGATCGGGATGCTGGTATGACAGTGATCAGGACATTGGTATGGCTGTGATCAGGATGCTGGTATGACAGTGATCAGGACGCTGGTATGGGGTGTTCAGGATGCTGTTATGGGGTATGGTGGTCATCAGGAAACTGGTATGAGGTATGCGGTGATGATCAGAATGCTGGTATGGGTATGGCAATGATCAGGACGCTGGTATGAGTATGGCAATGATCAGGATACCAGTATGGGTATGGCAATGATCAGGATGCCGATATGGGTATGGCAATGATCAGGATGCCGCTATGGGTGTGGCAATGATCAGGATGCCTGTATGGGTGTGGCAATGATCAGGATGCTGATATGGGTGTGGCAATGATCAGGATGCTGATATGGGTGTGGCAATGATCAGGATGCCGCTATGTGTGTGGCAATGATCAGGATGCTGATATGGGTATGGCAATGATCAGGATGCCGCTATGGGTGTGGCAATGATCAGGATGCCGCTATGGGTGTAGCAATGATCAGGATGCTGATATGGGTGTGGCAATGATCAGGATGCCGGTATGGGTATGGCAATGATCAGGATGCCGGTATGGGTATGGCAATGATCAGGATGCCAGTATGGGTATGGCAATGATCAGGATGCCAGTATGGGTATGGCAATGATCAGGATGCCAGTATGGGTATGGCAATGATCAGGATGCCGGTATGGGTGTGGCAATGATCAGGACACCGGTATGGGTATGGCAATGATCAGGACGCCGATATGGGTATGGCAATGATCAGGACGCCGATATGGGTATGGCATTGATCAGGATGCCGGTATGGGTGTGGCAATGATCAGGACACCGGTATGGGTATGGCAATGATCAGGACACCGGTATGGGTATGGCAATGATCAGGACGCCGGTATGGGTATGGCAATGATCAGGATGTCGGTATGGGTGTGGCAATGATCAGGATGCCTGTATGGGTATGGCAATGATCAGGATGCCTGTATGAGTATGGCAATGATCAGGATGCCTGTATGGGTATGGCAATGATCAGGATGCCTGTATGGGTATGGCAATGATCAGGATGCCAGTATGGGTATGGCAATGATCAGGGTGCCGGTATGGGGTGATCAGAATACTGGTATGGCATATGGTGGTGATCAGGGTGCTGGTATGAGGTATGGCAATGATCAGGATGCCTGTATGGGTATGGCAATGATCAGGGTGCCAGTATGGGGTGATCAGAATACTGGTATGGGGTATGGCGGTGATCAGGATACTGGTACAGCGTATAGGGTGATCAGTGTGCTAGTATGGCATATGGTGGTGTTTAGGACACTGGTATAGCATATGGCGGTCATCAGGGTGCTGGTATGAGGTATGGCAATGATCAGGACACTGGTTTGGGTATGGCAATGATTAGGATGCCCGTATGGGGTGATCAGAATACTGGTATGGTGTATGGTGGTGATCAGGATACTGGTACAGCGTATGGGGTGATTAGGGTGCTGGTACAGCGTATGGGGTGATTAGGGTGCTGGTACAGCATATGGCGGTCATCAGGGCGCTGGTATGGGAGTGATCTTGACGCTGATATGGTGGTGATTAGGACATTGGTGTGGTGTATGGCCATGTTATTGTGTGCACTGGGACAGGTGACAGGTTTGGCTGTATTGTATAGACCATAATGGGCAGTGATCAGGGACATTGGGGTGGCTGGCACACCACTTTGCGAGTGTACATGCTGCCTGACAGGCTGCTGCTCACTCACAAGCTGCTGCATCCCTTCTTTGCCCTCACACTGAGAGCAGAGGGAACCGATCTTCACTTTCACTTTCAATGTTTACAATGTGAGTGCTGTGATTGGTCACAGCAGTCACATGGTAAAACACCATGGGATCACCTGGACTTCCGGGTGCGTGCTCTGTGAGCCGTGCAGGAGCTGAGGATGCAGGCTGACATACAGGTACGTTAGACCGCATCCTCAAGGTTTCCGTCCGCCGTCTATAGGTAATGGGCGGACGGGAAGAGGTTAAGCCTATCAGCATTAACTGTGTGAACAATTTCAGTTCTCATCGATCCTCTTTCTTCCTGATTCATACCGTGGATGCACAGCCTCTCACTGCTATTAGCTTGCCTTGGCATCAATCATTTTTGTTTTTTGTCATGTGTGGGCATAATCAGTAGGGCTGACGTCAGTCAAAGTACTGGTTTTCCTGAGTATTTTCTGAAAGCACATATTCCTGACATTCCTTTAGAAATGCATATTAGCTGTGAAATCTGCTACACTCTAGTGTAGTCAAGCAAGTAATCAACAGATTGCACATCTAAAGTCTGCAGCACCCAGTGTCCATCAGAGGAGCATGCACATCTAAAAGAATGCCAGGGATTTGTTCTTTCATATAAAATTCATGCTGGGATGTTTACAGGAGCATACTTGCCCTTCCCACCAAACTCTATATCATCAGAGAGCAAAAACCAGCAGAAAGACCCAGTAATTATGTCTCATCAGAGGTACTTCTTGAAAACAAAATAATTGGAATAGAAAATGTTAAATGCAGGTTCATCGGGGGGAGGGGGTACAAAGAAATGTATTATATGTATACAGTACACTTCTGTTTAATTATTAAAAAAAATAAAAACTTACTGGAATGGGTTTTACTTGAGATGCAATATTTACCATTTTAACAGCAGGTGTACTGAGCTTGTCCGAAGTGTCCCAAATATTAATATACTGGTGACTACGCACCAGGACTATACAAAATATACAGATCCAGGCTGGATCTAGTACCTTCCACACTCGTACACCCCCCCCCCCCATCCTAATATTGCTAGGACTATCCTGACTCTGTTATTTTTACTTTTTATTCAATATTAAAAGTTCTGCGCTGAAAATGACTACAGCTGGCAGTTAAATCCGAAGGCTTATATAATGATGACATTCTGCTCCCTTTTCTATGGTTGAATGGGGTGGATGCAATATTGTTGTTCAGCATTCCATCAAGTCACTTCACCAAGGATGTAACTTTAGTTATTGTGGACTATGCCAGGGGTGGGCAACTGTGGCCCTCCAGCTGTTGTAGAACTGCAAGTCCCATGAGGCATTGCAAAACTGACAGTTACAAGCATGACTCCCAAAGGCAGAGACATGATGGGACTTGTAGTTCACCAACAGCTGGAGGGCCACAGTTGCCCACCCCTGGACTATGGGGTTGATTTACTAAAGGCAAATAGAAGGTGAAGTTCCACTCTGGAAGTGCAGTTGCTCCAGGGCTTTGTAAATGAGATAAAGATTCACTTTGCAAGGAATACCCAATCACGTGCAAGGAAAATTGAGAAAAGCACTTTTGCTTGCACATGATTGGATGATGGAAGTCAGCAGAGCCTCTGCTCATTTATTAAGCTCTGGAGCAACTGCTTTTGCAGAGCGCAACTGCACTTTGCAAAGTGCACAGTCTATTTGCCTTTAGTAAATCAACCCCTATATGTCTGCTATGGAATCTAGGAGCATGGGGGACCTAGCATTATCTAGATACAGTGTGATTTCTGTGGATAACAATAGCAATTGGCAACTACATTTGGATAAAATGTATGTATATACTGTAAAATGTGAGAACCTCTATACAATTAGTGTTGTATATCACTAGAGAAATTTGCTGTAGAGACTGCTATGGAAAACTGACAAAGTAGTACTTACCTTTCCACTCTCCAGTACTGCACTTCATCTTCTCCTCCACTGCTGACTGTCACTCCTTTAGTGAATGACATCCAGCATCATTTAACCCACTTCCTGTGAGCAGGGCTGCTGTTAGAAATCACGGGGGCTCCATACAGCCAACCTGGCAGTGCCCCCTTTCCCACAAAAAACAAAAAACACACAGTTTACTATGCTTCAGTTATGAATGAACACAGTGAGTGATGGGTAC